ACATCAGCGTTCCTGCTCTTCTGATGCTGCTTGGCCTGCTGTGTTCATACAGCTCTACACCTTATTATCATGGATCATGATGAGATGTGAAAAGTAGGAGTGAATATGCACAGGGTTGAGGCAGACTTCAAAAGGTTAACACAGGGAAACAGCACAAGTATTAAAAAAAGACTAAAACAATTTAACTTTTACATGTGTATCCAATCCTGGGATGCAAGCATTGCTGGCAAAGCTACTATCTACTTTGCTTTTTAACGAATGATATCGAAGTTGGAGTTACTTTAGTTGAAATAGATAAAACAGTCTTTCAGATTTAAGCAAATAGCTTGGATAAGCCAAGTGATTTCTGCTTGAATCTAACCTTATTTAACAATACTTGGTGCCAGTAATGTAAATGTGAATAATAGATTTTATTTTATGATCCAGGAGCACTAACTAGCCTTTATAAACATGTAAAGCAGCTTGGCTGCATGTACACAAAACAAATTCTTTACCTGTTTGATAGGTTCTGCAATAAGACAGCCAACAATCCTCTTCTCGTTAGAGACAAACATGTAGGTTTTGCTTCGTTCTGGGTAATTTAATGTAGCTTGCTGAAATCCTAGTTCATTATCAACCAATTCTCGCACTTCCTCTACCTTATTGGGAAAAAATGTGTAAAAATACAACAAAATATACTTCTTAACTTCTGTCCTCAACACCTATTTTGAGCAGATGTCATCTACTTGTTTTGCTATGCCGGTACATTTCCATGTTTGTTCTCTTACTTAAGAAGGAAGCAAACTTGATCTTACCAAGCACACAATCAGTTCAGTCAGTCATCAGATCTGGTTTGATCATGTTAGACTTCACTGTCCCACAATCTTTAAAACCAACTCCCCTGACATCATTCTGGTGGCCAATAACAACTCCAGACTCCTCAAACGTAAAACGAATTGCTCAACTCTTTCTTTTCATGTCCTCTCCAGTACCAAATGTGCACAGTGCATTTACATTTGTCTTTAAAAAGAAAAACATCCAAACAGCTACTTGTGCTCCTTTCCTTCTGAAATATTTCGTCCCTCTTCTGTTAGTGTAGGTAGCACTCCCAAAAACCTGCTTGAAATGTCACCTAGATTATTGAACTATTCAAAAATTTAAATTGAAATCTAACACATTAAAATACTTCAAAAATTGAATTCTATAAATTGGAATAGTTTGATTTTGTTTCAAGTGACATCAAGTTATTCTATTGCACATTGTATCCAAGACTGGAAATTTAATCAATTACGTATATACTACAGACTTTGGGAGAAAGTTTATCAGTACTATGCTTTTTTTTTTTACCTTTTTAAGAGCATACTTGGGGTCATCTGCTAGAATCAATATTATTTTTCCATCTAGATATTCTGCCACCACACGCTCTTTCTTCCACCCCTGTGTGTTGAATAGAAATACTTTTACAATAATGCAGTTTCAATAATTCAAAAGAATGAAAAGAATCATTAAGTGACGTGGCATAGTCCTCTTGTCATTCTGCTGAAATTTCCTCAACCTTCCCTGCAGGCATAATTTCATGTTTGTTTACCTTGCTAGCTCTTTAATATGTCAGCTAATGATACTGCTTTATGATTGGTAGGTAATACATTTGTATGCCATTTGACAGTGGAAATAATACAGCTAAAAATCGGATCTCAGTCTCACCCTTGATGAGCCTCACCTTCACTAAGACTGCAAATGAGTTCCAAGGTTGGTTTTACACTCTTGTGCTGGTGAATTTGAAGGCAGTGGGCATGCAGACTCCAATGGCTGACCTCCCTGCCACCTATATGTCTGCTTCTGAACAGTCTGAATTTTTGCAGAGGGGCAAGTGAGGTGTTGTGCACAGAATTCCACCTCTGGGCCTAGTGAAACCCTTAAGTGGCCAGTGGGGGATCATTAACATTTAATGAGAAATCTGAAAACCTAATTTTAACAAATAAAATTATGCCACAAGACTGTACTTGTTTAAACAACAAAATGTATATTGAATAAACTGCACAAAATAAATAGAATTAACCTAATACAATAACCATGTAGTAAGAATTTTCTTATTAAGGCACATCATCTTAAAGTTAATTATTTATGTAGTGACCACTATAGGTAAATCTCAGTCCTCTGGGGAATGCCCTCAGTTACAGTTTGTCTCGAGGTAAAATGCTCATGTACCATCTCTTCACAATGGATACCCCAATTCAACATTCTGGTTAATTTTCAACATTTCCAAGGAACTTGCTTTCTAAGTTGTGTGGCTGCTGGGTAGGTCCAGGAACATTGATCAAAGCTGATTAATGGCATCCGTGTAGAGACCTCAGAGGTTTGTGCAGCGACAAAAATAAGAAAAAGAACGTTGCTTCCAAGCTAATTTGGCTATTTACATTTTCTTTTTGTAACAGGACAGATTGTCTATTTTGAAGCTTGAGACAATCTTCATTCGTCTCTCTTTCAAGATTCAAACTAAGAATAAGTGCCACTTACATTCCACACTGAACGAAGAAGCTAGTTTTTTTTAAAACTCTGCTTAGTGTAGGCCTAGCTAACCATCACTTACTTTGGTGATTTTCTGTCAGTGGACTGTAAACTAAACAACAAATTTGCTGGAAAAGCTCAGCAGGTCTGGCAGCATCTGTGAAGAAAATATCAGAGTTAATGTTTCAGGTCCGGTGAAACTTCCTCAAAACAGTTCTGAGGAAGGGTCACCGGACTCGAAACATTAACTCTGATTTTTTTCTTCACAGATGTTGCCAGACCTGCTGAGCTTTTCCAGCAACTTTGTTGTTGTTCCTGATTTACAGCATCCGCAGTTCTTTTGGTTTTTATTTGTAAACTGCACATAGCAGTTCTAAATTGCAGCTAACTCTCTCAACAAATCAAATCCTAAGAACTTTCCTAAGCTTCACCCATTTCTGCTACAACATAGCCTGCTTTGAGCTGTCCTCAAACTGATTTGTCTAGATTAATTCTCTCATTTACAATTTCTTCTTTGATCTAAAGTAAATGGACTTTTATAACCTTCCAGGTTCACTCCATGTTTTTAAACTAATATAGGTCTGCCAAATGGAATGCAGTGGTTCAAGGACGCAGCTCACCATCACCTCAAAGGCAACTAGGGATGAGCAATAAATGCTGACCCACCCAGTGACACCCATTTCCCATGAATGAATAAAATAAAAATATATCAAGTATCCTTTGCAACCATTCCAAAAAAAAAAAGCCAGGGGGAGTTATCCTTGGTGTCCTGCTTAACATTTATCTTTTAAACAATATTACAAAAAACAGACAGACAGTCTGGTTGTCAACACATCTCTTTTCTCCCCAGAGATTGCTGCATGCACATTAGCAGCTGTGTTCCCAACACTATAACAGTGACTGTATTTAAAAGTACGTAATTGGCTGTAAAATGTTTCCAGACATCCAATAGTCTTGAAACGTTGGTGAGGCTGTAAGAATACCCTTCATCAAATGGAGCAACTAGTGACAGTAGAGTATAATTAAAGTGTGACAAATTTGCATAAATCATTTCCTTTATCAATGTATATACATGGGAATTTATTGGATTAAGGACAAAATATACAAAATTAAAATGGGGACTTGATAGGTCTGCAAACCTTGATATTTATCCATCTAACCCCATTTAAACTAAAGACTATACTTAATTCTTAACACCCTGAAAAATCGGTAAACGGTTTAAAATGCATACAAAAAAATGCCAAGGAATTTGAAACCTTGAATTTGGACAAAGTTAATTTAAAACCTTTCATACCACATAACGGAGCCCTTCTAGGAATCTTTGGTGATATTGAATATGTTGTGCTTCATCCTCAGGGTTGGATGCTGTATAAATCATTCCACAGGACCTGCACATGACTGCTCCAAAATGCTTCTGACCAGCGTCCTGCAAAATAGCAAAAGCAAGAAAATCAATACATCTACCAAAAAAAAGTACATCTAGTCATCAGCATTATTATAGCTTTGAAATTATTTAAAATACTTAAAGTTCTCATGGTCTTAACATTACTTTGTTTTACAGCATCTCTCTGGTTAATTTCCTAAACTTATTTTAGGAAAATAAAACTTATCTAAGGTTTTGGAGTAGATCTGTAGCTCGGGTTGTGGGTGTTGAGGTTGGTTGGCTCGCCGAGCTGGTTTGTTGTGTTGCAGACGTTTCGTTACCATGCTTGGTAACATTCTCAGTGCAGCCTCCGATGAAGCGTCAGTGTGTTTTCGTGCCTGGTTTTTAAACTCTGGGGTCCGTTGAGATGGATTGCCTCACTTCCGGGTTTCCTTCGTAGCAGAATGTATATGGGGTCGAGTTCAATGTGTTTATTAATAGCATGCTTCGTGGAGTGCCATGCTTCCAGGAATTCTCGTGCTTGTCTCTGCCTAGCCTGTCCCAGGATCTTGGTGTTGTCCCAGTCGAAGTCGTGGTTCTCCTTGTCCATGTGGATTGAGATGAATGAGTATTGGTCGTGTCTTTTTGTAGCCAGTTGGTGTTCATGTACTCTTGTTGTTAGTTTCCTTCCTGTTTGTCCGATGTAGTGTTTCTCTCAGTCTCTGCAGGGGATTTTGTAGATGACATTGGTCCTGTCCATGGCGGGGAGTGGGTCTTTAGTTCAGGTGAGCAGTTGTCATAGGGTTGACTTAGGAAACTTAGAAATTCATAAAAGATGGGTCTTAATTTATAGAACTTTCATGCCGTCAGGATATCCCAAGGTACTTTGCCATGAAATACTTAGCAAAGATTTTCAGTCAAAATAGCAGACAATTCACACACAGCAAGGTTACACAACAGCAATGAGATGAACCTTTTTAATAATGATATTGCCATGGAATCTTTTACATTTGTAAAGTCAGTTTAAAGGCTCATCTGAACGGAAATTCAGAATTGTAATCAACTTGTATGTTAGAACATTATTTGCCTTTAACTAAGGCTAAGATTAAAAAATTCCTCATTCAAGGTTATGAAATTTTGGAAATCTAACAGGATGCTCAGTACTCAAGTATTTTCTAGACATAGTTCGATATATTTTTGAGTGCTAAGGATAAAGAGGCAGTGTGGGACAGTGGAATTGAAGCGGAGGATCAGCCATGATTTAGCCTAATGGTGGAGCAACCTTAAAGAGTCAAAAGGCTTACTCAAGCTATTTATTTTGTATGAATTGACAAGGGCTCCCTTTGCTGCATTCGAGTATCAGTGCAGGCTTATGTGCTCAAATTGTATAGGCGCCATGGATCCCAAAGACCAACTTATAGGCAAGAATGTCATGGATGATACCTCATGACGTGCTTAAAAACAGAATAAATTATAGAACATTTTACATTGACGTAGAAAACTTTCTTCATTCAGTTCACTATTAGAAGCTGAAGTTTTATAATATATCATGAAATCTCAATTCCTTCACAGTCATTAGGTTAAAATTCTGCAACTCCATCAGCAATGTAGGGTACGTTCATCGACTGGACTGCTGCAGTTCAAGAAGGCAGTTCACCATCACTTCTCAAGGGCAGTTAAGGATGGGCAATAAATGCTGACCCAGCCAGCAAAACCTACATCCCCTGAATGGTTAATAAAAAAAAGCCACATATAGGCAAGACCAGTTAAGAATGGCAGATTTCCTTCCCTAAAGGTCATTAATGAATGAAATGGATATCTATGATAAATAATGATTGCTTCAATGTTACTATTACTGAGATTATCTTTCAATTCCAGATTTTATTAATTAATTGAAGTTAAATTCCATGAGCTGTCATAATGGGATTTGAACCTATATCCCTAGAATAAACACCTGAACCTTGGGGTTACTTATCCGGTGATGCTTAGTCATATGGTGGTTGCATCACAAAACAAACCTATCAAATTCTTTTACAATGGGGTGCCTTCAGACATATAGAGTGCAACCCCTAACCCTATGTGATGGAATTGGTAATCAACTTTTCCCCTTTACTGATCCTTGATATAAGATGACCATCTTTCTTAAGAACCAGGAGATTCCTCCTTCCTCTCTCCAGGTACTATTCTGTCCTCTTCAATTCTACATTTTCCATGGTGAGGTTTAGAAAAAAGTGCATTTCTTTAGAATTCCAAGTTCTGCGACATGGAAAGAGGCCCTTCAGTCCTTTGAGGCTGCACTAGTCATCTTTCTACTCTGGTCCCCCTTTCCAGCACTTGGCCTGTAGCCTTGTATGCTAGGTATTTCAAGTGTTCATCTAAATAATTCTTAAATGTTGTTCCTTTGTAGAATTTATTCTTGTAAATTTCTCACAAAGACAGTTCATTGTGACAAAAATAAGATAAAAATTTAATCTATTTAAGGTTAACCACTATTCTTTTTCAATAACCTCTGACATTGGGATTGATTGCAGAGGGAAAAAATCTGTACCACAAATCCCTCTTCTCTATTCGCACCCTGGCAAAATGAGTTCATGTCTTCAAATAATGTCAGCGTTCTGAGTGAATCAATGTGCTTTCCTGAACATGTGCTTAACTTGTTTAGTAGAATATTTTATGCCTAGGGCAAAAAATCCCCGAGATTTTACATAGTAGCTATCTTTTTAAAAAAACTCAAATCATCGGAACAGATAGCTCGACAGCCAATTTTCTGTTTAACCTGATATGTTGCAAATTTTATTATAATCTTCGTGGAAGAAAGTCTAATACAATTTTCCACTATAAACTGTTCTTGCAGGTAGTTCAATTTACATCAGATTCATTCACTTCTGTATACAAGAGTTTCACAATCCACTCTCTCCTGGATATGAAAACAAAAGCTGCTCTGTTCAGAAAAGCAGTTGGCACTGGAAAAATCTCAAGAATCACCATTTGGCCTACCACATCTGTGCCAGTTTTTTGACTCACACAAGGAAATGGAGATGGAAACTTGGCTTGACGAGAGGCAAGGATGACAGCTCAAAATCCCTGGATACATACAACCGAAAGGATGAAAACATTTTCACTAATCAACAATATTCTGTTATACTCAATATCCAGCTTGGAAACCCACAACCCAAATTCAGCTAATATTCAGAGACAATGGCAGGAAAAGTCTTGAATGACCTTACTATAAACCAAGAATAAGCCCATCTTCGTCAGTCTTTTAAGCCACAGCCAAACCTCATAATACTTCAAAGAGTTAGAACATAACTTGAAAGATCAGGCTAAATTCTGTAATACAGTAATAAAGTGCCATTTTAATCATGTCTTTTTGCCCTTTATTTTCTCACTTTTCCTTCTTTTCAAACCTTTTCTTCCTTATTCTTAAATGGTTGATGGTATATGTTACAAGAGATATTTCGTATCTTTACTTAGACGGTACAAAATCTGATTTACTCCTTCAATTTCCAATGACAATCCTGGGTTTATGCCCTCTTGTTATCCATTCACCAATGAAAATAATCTTTCAATATTCAAACCACAAATACCTTCCGTAATTTCAAAATGTTTCTTTTAAAACCTAGAGTTCCAGGTAAAAAAAACCTCAGCAACCTTTGTCACAATTGTGATAAGATATGGACCATCATTTTTCTACTTCCATCATCTGACTTTCATGGACTGATTTCAGAAAGGAAAATAAAAAACTTGGAAAAGGCTTCAGTAATCACCAAAGCACAAGTTGAGCCAAGCTGCACAAAATCAACATTAAACAAGACTGTCTAAGGAAGGCAGTTTCCTTCCCTAAAGGACATTAATGAGACAGATGGGTTTTTCCTGACAATTGACAATAGACTCATGGCCATCATTACACTCTTAATTCCAGATATTTATTGAATTCAAATTCCACCATCCACCATGGTGGGATTCGAACACAGGTCCCCAGAAAATTATCTGGATCTCTGGGTTAACAGTTCAGTGATAATATCACTAGGCCATCGCCTCCCCATCCATTTGGTGTAGGTAGACCCAAAATACCACTAGGAAGGGAATTCCAGGATTCTGACACAGCAACTCGAAGGAAATACAATATATTTCCAAGTCTGGATGGTCAGTGGCTTGAAAGGAAACTTGCAGGTGGTGCTTTCCCATGTATTTGCCATCCTTGTTTTTCTAGGTGGTAGTGATCGTGGGTTTGGAAGATGTTGTCCAAGAAGCCTTGGTGAATTTCTACAGTGCACTTTGTAGATGGTAAGTGCTGCTGCTGAGCATTGATGGTGGAGGGAATGAGTATTTGTGGGTATGGTGCCAATCATATGGGCTGCTTTGTCCTCTGGTCTCAAGCTTCTTCAGTGTTGCTGAAGCTGTACTCATTTATGCAAGTGGGCAGTACTCTATCACATTCCTGACTTGTACGCTATAGGCGGTGGACAGGATTTCGGAGCCAGGAGGCAAATTACACACTGCAGGATTCCTAGCCTATGACATGCTCTTGTAGTTTTGTCCTGCTTTTTGTGTATAGTACATACCTGGGCAATGTTCCACACCTGTCAACTAGATACTAATGTTACAGCTGTATTAGAATAGCTTGGCTAGGAGTGCAACAAGTTCTGGAGCATAAGTTGTCAGAACTATTGCCATAACATTGTCAGGGCCCATAGTTTTTGAAGTATCTAGTGACTCCAACTATCTTCTTATATCACATGGAGTGAATCAAATTTTCTGGGGAGTGGCATCTGTGATGTTGGGGACTTCTGGAGAATCCAGAGATAAATATTTATGTCTAGTCCAGTTCAGGGATGGTAAGGCGATTGAATGGCAATGATTAGTTGGTTAGATTCTCTCTTGTTGGAAATGGTCATTGCCTGGCATTTCTGTGGCGTGAATGCTGCTTGCCATTTGTCAGCCTCAATCAAGATATTGTCCAGGTCTTGCATTTGGGCATAAACTGCTTCAGTGTCTGGAGAGTTGTAAATGGCATTGAATATTGCATAATCAGTAGCAAACATCTCCATATCTGACTCAACGTGTGGGCCTAAAACACTACAGAGAGGAACGCCTGTAGAAATAACCTCGAACAGAGATAATTAATATCCAATAGCAATCGTTCTCATTTCACATCTGGAATCCAGCTCTTTAGTCCATGTTTAAACCAAGGGTCCAATAGGTCATGAGCTGAGTGGCCAAGGCAAAACTGAGCCTCTGTGAGGAAGTTATTGTTTTGCAAGTACTGCTCGAGAGCGCTGTTGATGATGCCTTCTATCACATTACTAACGATTGAGAGTAGATTGATGGGGCAGTAATTGGCTGGGTTGGATTTGTCTTGCTTTTTGTGTCCAGGACATTTACCTGGGCAACATTTCACATCTGTCAACTAGATGCTAGTGTCATAGTTGTATTGGAAGTGCTTGGCTAGGGGTGCAAGTTCTGGAGCACAAGTTTTCAGAACTATTGCCAGTCCGTTGTCAGGGCCCATAGGTTTTGCAATATCCAGTGCCTCCAGTTTTTCTATATATCACGTGAAGTGAATCAAATTTGCAGGAGACTGACATCTATGATGTTGGGAACATCAGGAAGATCCCGAAATGGCTCACTCAGTCAGCACCTCTGGCTGAGGATATTGTGAATGCTTCAGACTCATCTTTGCATTGACATGCTGGGCTTCCACATTCTTCAGAATGGTGATATTGGTGAACTTATTTGTCCACCACCATTCACAACTTGATGTGCAAAGGCTGCCAGGGCCTTAGATCTCATCTGTTTGTTGTGGAATTGCTTAGCTCTGTACACTACTTGCTGTTTATGCTGTTTAGCACACAGGTTGCCCTGTTTTGTAACTTCACCATGCTCACATCACAGTTTTAGATATATCTGATGTAGCTTCTGTCAGGTATCTTGCACACTTCATTGAAAAATTGCTGATACCACTATGATCAAGCCAGTGGAAGAGTGGCAGATATGCCATGAATTGGAATATGAAGTGAGAAGGCCAGGTTCAAGACCCACCTGTTTAAGAGGTGTGGTGTAATACCTCTGAACAGGTTGGTTAAAAATATTGAAAATTGAAGTTGACTCCAAGTCATAGAGTCATACAGCATGGAAACAGGCCAAAACGGTTTAACCAGTCAATGCCAACCATAATCCCAAACTAAACTCGTCCCATCCGCCTGCGCTTGGCCCATATCCCTCCAAACATTTCCTATTCATGAACCTATCTATATAGCTTTTAAACATTGTAGCTGTACACGCATCCATCACTTCCTTTGGAAGTTCACTTCATACACGAACCACTGTATAAAAAAAAAAATTACCCCTCAGGTCTTTACTAAATCTTTCTCCTCTCATCTTAAAAATACGCTCCCAGCCTTGAAATTCCCTACCCTAGGGTAAAGGCACCTACCATTCACCCTATCTACAGCCTTCATGATTTTAAAAATCTCTATAAGGTCACCCTTCAACATCCTATGCTCCAGTGAAAAAAAGTCCCAGCCTACCTAGCCTCCTCTTACAACTCAAACTTCTTCAATGTTCTGAGGCGTTTCTGCCTGTACCACCCTCACAAGCAATGAGTTCCAGATTCCCACCACATTCTGGGTGGAAAACAAATCCTCCAATCCCCTCTAAGCCTCCTGCTTCTCATCTTAAAACTATGCCACCTGGTTAGTGACCTCTCTATTAAGGGGGAGTTGTTTCTCCCTCACCTCACAACTGTGTCTTCTTCAATCAGGTCACCCCTCAGCCTTCTCTGCTCAAAGGAAAACAACACCAGGCTCTCCAGTCTCTCCCTTCTGCTGAATTACTCCATCCCAGGCAACATCCTGGTGAATCTCCTCTGCATCCTGTCCAGTGCAATCACATCTTTCCTGTAAAGCAGAGACCAGAAGTGCATAGAGCACTCCATCTGCAGCCTAACTAACGTCACAGACAGCTCCAATAAGACCTCCCTGCTTCAGTAATATCTCCAATTACACCATTTCAAGGGTCGCTAACAAATCTTCCTTGAGCACTGATCCCTCTGATAACGTCTGCTCCCTCATCACTGACTTATAGAGGACTTATACAATCCGTACAGTGTGGAGGCGGAGATTTCAGCCCATCGAGTCCACACAGATCCTCTGAACAGCATCTTACCTAGACTCACCCCATGACAGTGCAGCGCTCCCTCAGCTCTGACCCTCCAACAATATGGCCCTCCCTCAGCACTGACCCTTCTCAGATAGAACAGTTTGAGTGATTTGTCCTGTTATACATTTCCTTATTTAAGGAAGGATGGACTCACATTGGGGGCAGTTCACAGAAGGTTTGCTCCAGGTTGAAGGGGACTCTGTCTTACAATGGAAGTTTGGAACAGGGTGGGGTCTGTATCTCTGGGAGTTCAGACAAATGAGAGGGTGGTCCTATCTTATCGAGGGTGGGGAGTGCTTTATAGGGTGTGGTAGTTGAGGATGAACCCCCCCATCCTCAAGGCAAAATCTAGGAGGATGGGGCATCCTGGTTTTAGAATAAGGGTGTTCACTGGGTTAAGACAGAGATGGGCAGGAATTTCTTCTCCAAGATAGCTGGGTCACTAAATAGATTTGAGGCTGCCTCAGAACTACAGTGACACAGAGAGAGTCGGTGTGAAGATTTGGAGAGAGTGATGGAAGAAGATGAGATCTGGAGAGTTTTACAACTGAAGTTAAATTGAGCACTCCAAATCTTACTCAGTCACTTAATCACTTGTGTATGACATGAATGTGCAAACTAAACATTTTAAATTAGCTAAAATTGATTTTAACTATACCCAGTAATACAATGACAACCAACTTGTTAGCAGATATGAATTTTAACTTTGTCTTTCTTAAGTTCAAATTATGTTTATTGTCACTCAATATTTTAGAACAAAAATCACCTGCAGGCATCTATTAAGTCTTCACATTACACTAATTCAAACTTACTATTATAAGCTGGTCGCTGAAAACTTTGTCAAAATCTTTCTTTTTTTTGTTCTTCTGTAGAGATCCGTGGCAGGACATCGCAGAAGCAGCAGGAAAAGGATTATTACAATCAACAGAAACAGTCTCATCTTTCACTAGCTCATGCCTAAACAAGAACAAGAAATTACAATGAGACACTCAATTTACAGAAATAGTTCTTACCTTCATGATGCAATTGGAATGTTAGCATGTAATCAATAAAGGAAAGTAGGAACAGCTCTTCACAAATACTTATTGCCTCTGCCCCTCCTCCCCAGTGTATAATTTGTTGTATCTCAGACATCAAATGTATGGACCAATAGACTCTTAAGCATAAAAACTATTCTTTTTGCTAACCTCAATTTCCTTCATCACCAAAGTGATGCTACCATCACTAAAATTAGCTTCTCAAATAAAAGCAAAATACTACAAATATTCAAAATCTGAAATAAAAGTAGAAAATGCTACAGAAATTCAGCAGATCTGACAGCATCTATGGAAAGAGAAACCGAGCTAATATTTCAAGTCTGCCATATCTCTTGTTGAAGAACAAAATTAGACTCGAAACACTGACTGTTTCCCTTGCCACAGATGTTGCCAGACCTGTGAAGTTTCTACGACAATTTTTAAATTACTAAATATAGCTTCTTCATTCATCCAATAGTGTCAATCCCTTGACCCCACATCACCAAGTTTGGCTCCAACCACGAAACTTCCCCTCCTCAACTACCAACCAGACCACCATTAACATGTTTCTGTTCTTGCTTCTCAAGCCTTTATCGAAGATAATTTCCTTGGTCCAGGCTGCAAGTCTTTTAAACGTCTTTGTATTTTTGGGTGGATTATAAAGTTGGCTTGGGCCAACAACATTTGAACATTCGAACATTCCGCATAGTAAGTATATGGCTTTGACTTCTATTAGTCAGTCAGTCTGCTGGTAGCAACCAAGAACAAGCAGCTCCAGGCTTAGTTAAACACATACCAACTGAATCAAGGGATATACAAAGTGTAGAGCTGGATGAACACAGCAGGCCAAGCAGCATCAGAGGAGCAGGAAGGCTGACATTTCGGGCCCAGACCCTTCTTCAGAAATGCTGAGAATGGGGGGGTTCATCCTCAACTACCACACCCACAGCAATCCCCCTTTATCTCATGGTACCTTCATCAGAAATTTGACTACCTCTGAACTACAATGAAAGAGACTGTTATACCCAGCCAACTGAAGGAACCTCAATGGCATGCTGACTTACTGGAAACAACCTGAGCAGGATGCTGACTTGCTTTAAACACCTCAATATTATGACGACACACTGGAGTAGTGCACTGTAAATCAAGCCCTGTTATACCCAGAGTTGAACCAAAGATTTTTTTTTTTTTTAAGATAGTTATGCACATTGCTCCAATTTATCTGAATTTCAAACTAAGGTTGATGGAAAGCATGGACCAGGTTGTTGGACTAAACAAGAATTAGCATTTATAATAAGTAATTAGGCTATAGCTACAGGTAAACAAATATAAACCACTGGCATATAACACAGCTGATTATTCCTCTTTTTAATTTCTCCTTACACACACACACACAGGTAAACAAATAGGACTAACAAATCATGTATGGAGATAGAAAACACTGGAAAGTCACTTCAGTGGTGTTTCCTTCCTAATTCCAATGCCGAAATGATCCTTCTTCAACTAGTCAGGCCCTTGATGGTCAGTTGTCTTTTTCTGGAAACTTTCACTAACTTGCACGAAGTACAGAGCAACCAATTCATTTGAAAAATGTCCCTGATCAATTACAAAGTCACAACTCACAGCAAGTGCTGCAGGAAAGGTAACTAGGTTTCTTCAACTCTAAACTGAGTTTTTTTCTTAAACTACAGAGAACAGACAGCTTCTGCTGGGGAGAACAACTGTGTCTTTCCTGTGTGATTGTGTTTCTGTAACATGTTTCCAGTTCCAACCTGCTCAGTTAGCTGAGAACCATTTAGGTTCGCTTGTAAAAAACTCATTGGCTCCTGATAGTCTGCACATTTTAAGAACTCTTGATCATAAACACAATTCACAACGGGTATCAAATTCCTTGCTGTGAAATTATGTAGCCATCCAGATAAATTCCTGTTTCAAAAATAATTCTTTTTAAATGGAGTCCAAGGGTTTTAAAGACATACAAAACAAAAGACACTCTCTTTACAACTTAATGCCAGTTTACCTGACTCTCTAACTCTAACTTTTTTTATAAGTAATTTGTAATTAAAAGCTTGTCTCCCTTCCTTTCTTGAAAGCATGTGTGAATATGTGTCATGAATGATTCTGTCACGTTTTGAGTGGAGTAATAAATCTTGATAATAAATATCTATTTAAATGCAGTGAGTAATAAAGGTGTCCTGAAGATGAATTTGTTGCTTGTTACAATCAGACAATCCGAAGTTTAAAGCATGAAAGAATTCCATAAAAATTGAACAAGATAATTTTACTTTTGTTATTATATTCATAGTCTGCTGACGAGTTCATTGCAATTTCTACTGGAACTTACTTTCTGGTAATAGTATTTACTTTATGGCCTTATTAATCTATATCGTTTTGTTAGTGATCTGGATATCTGTACACCAGAGGCCTGTGTTCCTTTACTACAATTAGCCTTTATACCTAACACTTATTTATAAATCAATGAAATCCAGAAAGAACATTGTCTAAAATTTCACATTAGGATACTAGCTAAAATGATGGTTTCCTGTTCCTACCTTTGCAACTTTAATAGGGACAGTAAACTGCTTAAAACAAATATTTTCAATAGAATAAGAGAAATAGAAATTCAATAGATCAGCATTGTATCCATATGCTTATGCATCATGTCATAGACATAATACACACGATACACACATAGTACCATGAAAACATTATTATATCTAATGACAAATTAATACCTTTTACTGCCAGTTGGAGTACGAAAAATGGGATAGATAGCATCAGCTGACGATAAACCTAAAGACGACGAAATGTAACTATTAGTTAAACACCTTTCATAAATGTAACGAAAAATACTACTAACACAAAACCCAATACTTTAACTGGTATGACTATATGTAGTAAAGCGAACATTTGATTGTATATTTACAACACATTGGTGCTGATTGGACAATTCAGGTCAAAGCTAGAAGAAAGTAGCAATCTCAGAGGATTGGAACATTCATTATTGGAATGTCCAGCATAGAGCTGTAATGATGGCTTTATGCTCATCAATGCATCAATAAGATTAATGAATTCTCACAGGCAGCCTACCACAAATAAAAAAATCAATATGATCAATTCATTACTTAAAATACTGTAAAAAGAGTAAATTGAAAATGATGACACATATTGGAAATCAACATACAAAGATGAAGTTGAGGTGGGTCTTGTTGACTGGCAGAGCAGTCCTTAAGGGTAAAATAACTCTCTTAACATCAGACCCACAGCAGTCATAGAATACTGCAATACAGAAGAGGCCCTTCAACCCATAGAGTTTGTACAGTCAAATATACACGAGTCCCACCTTCCAGCACTAGGTCCAAAGCCTTGAATGTTATGACAATTCAAGTGCTCATCCAAGTACTTTAAATGTTATGAGGTTGTGAGGCTACCAGGAGTGCATTCCAGGTCCCCCCTACCTTCTGGTGAATTTTTTTTTCCCCATCAAATCCCCTCTAAACCTTAAGCTTTCCACCTTAAAAGTATGCCCCCTCGTTCCTGACCCTCCAACTAAAGGGAACAGCTGCTTTCTATCCACCCTGTCAATGCCCCTCATAATCTTATAAACCTCTACTGGGGTCCCCCCTCTACTTTCACGGCTCTGAAGTAAACAACCCAAACTTACCCATCAATTTGGTTGACTCTTGACTGCTCAATGAAATGGCCAAGCAAGTGACTCAGTTCATGTGATATTACGAATGGGCAATAAATAATGGCCTGATTAGCAATGCCCACATCTCATTAAAGGATAAAACAAAGTGCAACTTCTAATGGTGTTTCAACAGTATCAAGATCATGGGTAATAGAAATATTGAAACAAAGAGCAGGAGTAGGCCATTTGGTCCTACTGCACAATTCCACATGATTGCGGCTGATCCTCTATCTCAAAACCATATTCTCACCTTCTCCCCATATCCCTTGATGCCATTATAATTTAAAAATGTATCTATCTCTTTCTTGAATATATTCAGTGGCTTGGCCTCCATTGCCTTGTGTTGGAGAATTCTTTGAGTGAATACATTTTTCTGCATTGCAGTCCTAATTGGTTTACCCAGTATCCTGAGACTATCCCCAGTTTTAGACTCCCCAGCCAGTGAAAACATTTCTCTACATCTGGAATGTCCAGCCCTGTTAGAATTCTGTATGTTTCAATTTGATCGCCCTCATCTTTGTCTTGAATACAGATGCATTTGAACTGACCTTTCCTCACGGGGCAGACCCGCCATTCCCAATATCAGCCGGGTGAACCTCTGCTGCACTCCCTTTATGCCTTGTATATCCTTTCTTGAGTAAGGAGTCCAAACTACACATAATGCTCTGGGTGTGACCTCACCAAGATCCTGTATAACTGCAGTGAGATAACCCTACCTCTGAGCTCAAATCCTCTTGCGCTGAAGACCAATATACAACTTGCGTTCTTAATTGCTTGCTGCACCTGCTTGTCCACTCTCACTGACTGGTGTACAAGGACACCCGAATCCTTTTGTACATCCACACTTCCCAATGTATCATCATTTAAATAAATAAATATCACCATTTGCAAACTAGCACATCTAAAATTAGAACTGAAAGCATACAATTTTACTATACCAACTTTTATCATGAATTCATTATTTTCAATCTTACTTTGAAATTAACATTGAATTTGAGATGCATAGTCACATCTATTTAACTCATCCATTTTAGAATCCCCTCTCCTAAAGGTAGTGGTTCTTGACATCTTATTTTTTGTTACCTCTCGCGTATGGATGTACTTCAAGAGACTGGGCCTTTGGAAGCATCACAGAAGAGCAGACATATTTTAAAAATATGATCACAGGTGCCCATTTTTGAGGAAGCATCAATGGATGTAAAGAAGTGAACATCAGTATCTTATCCAATCCAAAAGGAGCATTAAGATCAAACGCTACAAGGTCTCATTCCATATTGAGTCCTTGCCATTACTGAATTGATTACCTTTATGTGTGTCATTATTTCCTTCAAATGAATTCCGATCTTCAAATTCATTCCGATCTTCAAATTCCAGACCTGCTTCATTAGTATTAAGGTGCTTAAGATAAAAGACAAAATTAATGATAAAACAATATTGCTTTCAAACTCAAATGATTAAAGGTCCAAAACATATGTTGTTACTTTAAAATTTTCTACTGTACCCATCTATGAAAGGAATTGATATCTTAGGAATGCAAAGTAGGGTGTATAAATGCAATTTTGCTCACAAGATTTAACAAAGAATGTACTACAACTGTTACTATAATTCCTTTCACAGAAATCAAAAAATAAAATGTATTGAATAAAATCTTCAATCCAAGAACAGATTTTGGCTAAAACCCAAGTCATAATAAATGTTAAAGCAAAGAAAAACAGAAAATGTTTTTAATATGAATAAGTTAAGGCATTTTTAAAAAAAATCGTAAAGCGATCATTTTTATTTTAGCAAGACCTTAAGTCAACTGTCATGAATACCTTACATTACAAGAAAGGAACAGACCATTTTCACATTGACTTGTATTTGACATGGGAACACCAACACATCTTAGATATTCAGAAGACATTGTCCTGGATTACTAATTTTATTAAAATTGCATTTTTCATAACTTTATATTCCAAGATCTGTTCACTGAACTTCAGCTAAATGACATTAGAAGTCCATACCCCATTAACAGCCAAAGCCCAACATAGCAATAAAATATCCTGGAATGGTGATATATTTTATCTGAAATTACTGTTGTTAATGCATTAGAGCCCACTTTCAAAAAATCGAGGCCTGAAATACCCAAAAAGAAACACATGTTGGGATGAGGACTGAAAGGAAATTAATGTCAAGTCAATTATATCAGCTTGTCACCCAGTGATGATATCAAGTAGAATGAAAAAACTGTTACGATGCAAAAGAAAACCATTCAGCCCATTGCATCTGCACCGGTTCTTAGCGTTTTACTCAATTGCCAATCTGCCGTTTCCCCATAACCCTGCACATTGGATGATTATTTAAATAGAAACAATGCTCTCTCAAAAAGCTAAATTGAGCCTTCCTCCACCACACTTGCAAAGCATTCCACACTCTAACCATTCACTGTGTAAAAACGGCTTTGTCTCACCTCACATTGGTTTCTTTTGCAAAACACAAAAATATGCTCTCTGGATCGCAATCCGTTTATGAGAGGGAACAATTTCTCCCCATCGACTCTGCCCAGGTGTTTCATTATTTTGATGACTTCCATCAAATCTCTCCTTTCCAAGGAAAGCATCCCAAATTCTCCAATCCTTCTATTTCACTGAAGTACCTGATCCCTGGTACCATATTCAGAAACTAGTTCTATACTCTATTCAATGTATTCTTCCTATATTGTAGCACACAAAACTGTACACAATACTCCAGATGAGGTATAACCAGAATTTTAGACAAGTTGACCTCAGCTTCCTTGCTCTTATATTGTATGTCCCTAATAATGAAGTCTAAAATACCATATGCTTCATCAATAGCTCTCTCGACCTGTGCTGCTACCTCTGATGACATGTGTACACAATCACAAAGGTCTCTTTGCTCCTGCATCACCATTTAGAATAGTGCTGTTTTACACTGTCTCACCATGTTGATATACCAATGTGATTCAACTGCTACCTACAAATATTCCAATGTGTCAATACCTTTTTGGAAGTTCTACAGTGTCCTCCTCACAATTCTCCCAAGTTTTGTCTCATCTGCAACCTTTGAAACTGACCCTTGCACACTCTAGATTATTTACATATACTCAAAAAAAGCAAGGGTCCCAGTTCTGACGGCTGAGAACTCCACTTCTCAAACATTTTCCCGCCTGAAAAATACCCAATAACCACTACTCTCATTTTTTTATCCCTCAGTTAATTTTGTCTCCATGTTGAGACAGTCCTCTTTTATTCTAAGGCCTAAAGCTTTCATTCAGAGGTCAGCCATAAACGTGGGCCAGATATGTGGTAAATATTCATGTTACGCTCTGATTCAAACTGTAGATTTGTGTGTGTAGTTTTTAAATTTATTTGCTGGGATTTTGGGTTTCTGGTTTCTGAGTTAGCAACCAGTGGATTTTGTGGGTGTCTTCAGTTAATAATTATTTTGTCTGCATTTCTGTAGCCATGGCATATTCTTTTATAAGTAGTTTTTGAGGCTAGGCTTTAGAATGGGTTTTGTGCATTGCTAACGGACTTTTACTTACTTGGGTTGTTTAGTGACTCAGCGTGGTAAGTATTGGAGCCCCAAGGTTTGCTTGTGTGTTCTGGAACTTGATTTTTTTTAAAAATATAGCTGAATAGAAATATTGATTGCTAAGAGACATTTAGGTCACCTTTGACTTTAAATGGGGCAGTCCCTGACGTCCTTGGAATTGAATGGCTGTATAAACTCATGGTTCTAAGAATGGAAGCATATACATTAGTGAACTAGATTACCTTAGAGTGAGTTAGTGTTGGTCCCAGACATGAAGTGTTTGGATAAAACCCTGAAGAAATTACTTAAAGCAGAGTACATTTAAGCAATAATATGATGGAGTTATCTGCATTTCTACTCTAAATCTTGAATTCACAAGTGACTTAAACTACTGAGGTGCCTGATACGAGGTTGCTGGCGGGAGTACTGTACGAGTGGTGTTTTAGGTATTGTATACAGCGTGTTTTGTACTACACAAATTCTGTTTTGTGTACTTCTAATTTATATTAGGAGTCTTTTGAAATTAGTGGGATTATACTTTTGCCATTGTGTTTAATAACCTTTGAATTTGTATTATAATAGATAGCTTGCATTATTCTATTTTATCTTCAGTTCTTTTGTAATAAACTTCCGTTTTAGTGATAAAGTAAAATCTTCAACACTGTGTGCTTATTGTTCAGTGTGAGACCACTTTGTTACAACATGTTTCATCAAAACTGGTTCCTTTCTAGGATCTGGCTCATCTGGTAATATATTTCAATATTTTATGTTTTCAATATATTTCAATATCTCTCACTAAAGCACTGCATTCATTACATTCTCATTCACGTATATTTATCAACATCTCTCAGTAAAGCACTGCATTCATTTCATGCTCATTCATATGCATTTATAGAGTATCTTTAACATAATTAAAATGTCCACAGGCACTTTAAAATCACAGTATAAAACTGAAAACATGGCATTGAACCACATAAACAGATAATAGGGTAGAACTTAGTCAGATGTAAGGTTAAGGAGTGTCTAAAGGAGAGATTGAAAACAGCTTCATGGCTGGAATTCCACAACTTAAAATATTGACAGGTGAAGATATGGCCACCAATGGTAGAGTGATTAAAACTGGGGATACTTAAGAAGTCAGAATTAGACACTTCACGGTGCTTTGGTGCAGAGGGATGTCGGTGTCCTCATACATGAATTGCACAAAACCAGTTTGCAGGTACAGCAAGTAATAAGGAAAGCAAGTGGAATTTTGGCATTTACTGATAAAGGAATAGACTATCAAAGTAGGGAAGTGTTCCTACAACTGTACAACTCATACAAGTGTATGAGACCGCACTTGGAGTACTGCATACAATTTTGGTCCCCCTACTGGAGGAGGATGTAGCTGCATTGGAGCCATTCAAAGGAGGTTCACTAGTTTGATTCCAGAGATAAGGGGTTAGTCTTATGAAGAAAGATTGAGTTGTTTAGGTCTATACTTTCTGGAATTTAGAAGAATGAGAGATGCTAAAGAGAATTTACAAAGCAGAAGTAAAGAGGGTTTTTCTTCATGTGGGACAATCTATAATAAAAGGTCATAGTTTTAGGATATGGGGAAGAAAATTTAAAATAGAGACGAGGACAAATTACTTCTCTCAAAAGGGTTGTGAAATCTGTGGAATTCATACCCAGAGTGCGGTGGATGCTGGGACATTGAGTAAATTTAAGGAGGAAATAGACAAGAATTTAAATTAGTAATGGGTTGAAGAGTTATGGACAGTAGGCAGAAAATGGAGTCGAGGCAGAGACGAGATCAGCTATGATCATATCAAATGGCAGAGCAGGCTCATGGGACTGAATTGCCTACACTTGCTCCTTGTTCTTATGTTCTAAGTGCAGATAACCTATAGAGTCGGCAAGTGCAGGAGATTAGAAATAATGATTGGTGAAGCTTTGATGAACTGAAGGATTGGAAGGGTGAGAATCTTTAAATTGAGGCATTGATCAACCAAGGGCCAATGCAAGCCATCAAGCAGAGGAGTAATGGGTGAGTAAGACTTGGTGAATTAGGTCATTAGCAGCAGAACTTTTGTTAAGATCAAATTTATTGAGGCAAGAATGGGAAAGGCTAGTCAGGGGTATGTTGGAATCATCAGATCTAGGGATAATTAATGCATGGATGAGAGCTTCAACAACAGGTAAGCTGATGCAAGGCAAAGTCAGGTGATGCTACAAAGATGGAAACAGACCGTCTTATTGCTAACACAGATGTGTGGTCAGAAATTCAAGTTTGGTCAAATATGACACCTAGCATGTAAAAGACTGGTTCATTCTCAGATAATTGCCATGGAAAGCAATAGAACTGGTAGCTAAGCGAGAGTTTGTTACAGAACTAATGAATATGTCTCTGGTCGTCCCAATGTTGCGGAGAAAATTTTCTGTTCATCCAGAACTGGATATCAGACTTGCAATTTGCATTTACTGTACTTATTACTGTATGACTATATTTAGAAACAATCATCCAAATGAGACACAAAACCAAAATACTGTGGATCCCAGAGATCTAAAATTTAAAAATAAACAGCAAAATGCTTATAAGCTTTTCCCAATTCTGATGAAAAGTCATAAACCTGGAACATTAACTAGTTCTCTTCCCAAAGATACTGGCAGAGCTGCTGCAAATTCCCAGCATTTTCAGTTTTAAATCCAAATATATACATTTTGTATAGAAGTGTGTACTCATTTCATAATAACTGGAAAGATTCTAAGAGGCAACTTTCCAAAGTGAATTTCAAAATTCAACTGTAGCTTACCTCAACATTCAAAATTTCATCTTTATCCTTTTCAGATTCTGAATCTTGAAACTGGTCAAACCACTAACAAAGAACAACCAAAATATAAGTGTAGGCAAAGCTTCAAAGCAATGATATATATAATCTATACTTTATATAACCTGTTTAATTTTTCATAATTTAATTGTTATTCATTAAAACATATAGTCTTTGGATTATGATAATTATGAAAAATTATTCAACACCATAAACTTTATTCATACCACTACATCTTAGTAGAAATTCACATCACATTGGCTATTTCAAAAACTAAAACAGCCTATTTGGCTATTTGTCTGCTTAATCACCAACAATCATAACCCAATATATTTTATTACAGTCACATGGGGCTGCGTATAACTAACAAAGGGGCAGTGAGCTATGACTTTGACAATCTAGTATTACTCATAGGCTGATCCTGTGACAAAATGAACAGAAAATAAAAATATACAGGTCCAACAGAACAAGTGCAAAAGAAAAAGGCATACATTAATCTAAAACATTCTACAATCTCTGGGCATTCAAAGTTCATTAGCTGTAAAGCAATTTTAAGTGTAGTAACTGTTCAATGTAAGAAATGAGGTAGTCAATTTAAACAAAGCAAAGTTCCTCAAACAGGAATATGATAATGACCAAGTAATCTGTTTTCATGATGTTTCATGAAATGCAAATACATTAGAAGACATTACATAGCAAGACAACACAAAACAAAAACGTGACATAACAAAAAAACAGCTCTTTTGGAAGAAGCTTCAGACAAGCTGTAAAATTATACTAATTTAGAATTAATTATTTGAACCAAAATATAGCTTGTCCTGTTACCAATGACATTACCAATGCAGAAAAGTATACAAAATCAGTCAGTACAATTTGCATTTATGTTTGTGCAGTTCATTCAGTATTGTTCATGTCATACAAATAGCAAATACTATTTAAATGCACCGTTTTAACAATAACTGAATCTATACGGCACCTTTGAATGCAGTAAAACATCCCAAGGCGCATCACAAAACAACCTAGCAGAAACATTTATATCTTTATAACCACAGGTGAGGTACTGGAGGACAGGAAGGTGGCTAATGTTGTGCCTTTATTTAAGAAAGACTGTAAGGAGAAGCCTGGGAACTATCAGCTTGTAAGCCTGACAACGATGGTGGGTTAGTTGTTGGAGGTGATTCTGTAAGTTAGGATTTACACGCATTTGGAAAGGCAAGGATTGATTAGGGATAGTCAGAATGGCTTTGTGCGAGGGAAATTGTGTCTCACAAACCTGACTGAATTTTTTTGAGGAAGTAAACAAAGAGATTAATGAGGGCAGAGCACTAGATGTTGTTTACATGGACTTTAATAAAGCCTTTCACAAGGTTCTGCATGGTAAGCAAATTATCAAAGTTAGATTACATGGGATTCAGGGTGAGCTTGCCAACTGGATACAAAATTGGCTTGACAGTAGGAGACAGAGGGTAGTGGAGGAGGGCTGTTTTTCGGACTAGAGGCCTGTAACCAGCGGTGTTCCACAAGGATTGGTACAGAGTCCACTTTTGCTTGTCATTTATATAAACAGTTTGGATGAGAATATAGGATGCATGGTTAATAAAGTTTGCACATGACATCAAAATTGGTGGTATGCGGACAGTGAAGAAGATTATCTAAGATTACAAAGAGATCTTGATCAATTGGGTCAATGGGCTGAGTGGTGACAGATGGAGTTTAATTTGGATAATTGCGAGGTATTGTATTTTGGTTAAACAAGTAAGGGCAGGACTTATACAATTAATGATAGGGCACTAGATGGTGTTGTAGAACAGACAGACCTAGGGATTCAGGGACAGGATGAGTGAGGAGTTGGCTAAAGTAAATTGGAAGCAAAGACTCTATAATGGGACAGTTGAGGAACAGTGGAGGACTTTCAAAGCAATTTTCAAAGTGGTCAACAAAAGCATATAACAGTGAAATGGACGGACTTTAGGAAAAGGGGTATTCAGCCATGGATGTCTAAGGAAATAAGGGAGTATTGAAAAAATTGAAAGATAAGGCATACAAAGTGGCAAAGACCAATGGGAAACCATAAGATTGGGAAAACTTTAAAGGTCAACAGAAAGCCACAAAAAAAGGCTATAAAGAAAAATAATATAGATTATGAGACTAAACTAGCTCAGAATATAGAGTCACATAGCAAACTTTTCTATAAATATAAGAAACGAAAAAGAGTGGCTAAAGTAAACATTGGTCCTTTAGATGATGAAAAGGGGGATTTAATAACGGGAAATGAGGAAATAACTGAGGCATTGAACAGGTATTTTGTGTCGGTCTTCACAGTGGAGGACACAAATAACTTGCCAGTAATTGATGACAAAGAGACTAAGGTAGGTGATCTAGACACGATCATTATCACAAAAGAAGTAGCGTTGGGCAAGCTAATGGAGCTAAAAGTAGACAAGTCTCCTGGCCCTGATGGAATGCATCCCAGGGTACCAAGAGATGGCGGGAGTAATAGTAAATGCACTCGTGGTAATATTCCAAAATTTGCTGGACTTTGGCTGTTTCTACTGGAACTGCCCCAATGTGACACCACTGTGTTCAAAAAAAGGAGGTAGACAAAAGATGGGGAATTATAGGCCAGTTAGCTTAACAACTGTAGTGGGGACAATGCTTGAATCTATCATCAAGGAAGAAATAGCAAGGCATCTAGATAGAAATTGCCCCGCTGGGCAGGCGCAGCATGGGCTGATGAAAGGGAGGTCATGCTTGACTAATTTGCTGGAATTCTATAAGACATTACGAGCGCAGTGGACAACAAAAACCCAGTTGATGTGGTGTATCTGCCAAAAGGCATTCGACAAGGTGCCGCACAAAAGGCTGCTGCACAAGATAAAGGTGCACGGCATCGGTTAACTAACAGGAAGCAAACAGTGGGGATAAATGAGTGCTTTTCCGGTTGGCAAACAGTGACTGGTAGTGTGCCTCAAGAATCGGTGCTGGGACTGCAATTGTTTATAATTTACATAGATGATTGGAGTCGGGGACCACATGTAGTGTGTCAAAAGTTTGCAGATGACACTAGGATGAGTGGTAGAGCAAAGTGCGCAGTTGGGTCTGAAAGTTTGCAGAGGGATATGGATAGTTTAAGGGAGTGGGCGAAGATTTAGCAGATGGAATTCAATGTTGATAAATGTGAAGTCATCCATTTTGGTAGGAATAACAGTAAAGGGACTATTACTCGAACGGTAAAAAATTGCAACATACTGCTGTGCAGAGGGACCTGGGTGTCCTTATGCATGAATCGCAGAAGGTAGGTTTGCAGGTACAACAGGTAATTAAAAAGGCAAATGGAATTTTGTCCTTCATTGCTAGAGGGATTGAGTTTAAAAGCAGGGAGTTATGTTGCAGCTGTGTAGGGTGCTGGTGAGATCACCTGGAGTGATGCATGCAGTTTGGGGGCCTTATTTGAGAAAGGATGTACTGGCACTGGAGGGGTGCAGAAGAGATTCACTAGGTTGATTCCAGGGTTAAGAGGGTTGGCTTATGAGGACAGGCTGAATGGACTGGGATAATATTCATTGGAATTTAGAAGAATGAGGGGGGAATCTTATAGAAACATATAAAATTATTAAGGGAACAGATAAGATAGAAGCAGGGAGATTTTTCCAGTGGTAGGTGAAACTAGAACAAGAGGGTATAGCCTCAAAATTAGAGGGGGCCAGATTTAGGGCTGAATTGAAGAGGGTTGAGAATCTGTGGAACTCTCTGCCCAGTGAATTAGTTGAGGCTTCCTCATTTAATGTTTTTAAAGCTAGGATAGATAATTTTTTGAATAGTAAAGGAATTAAGGGTTATAGTGAGAGGGTAGGTAAGTGGAACTGACGCCATAAAAAGATCAGCCATGATCTTATTGAATGGCAGAGCAGGCTCCAAGGACCAGATGGCCTACTCCTGCTCCTGGTTCTTATGTTCTAATGACATAATTCTTTGAAATTTGCATCACAGATAGACAGGGTGGTTAAGAAGGCGTTTAGTATGCTTGCCTTCATTGCTCAGACTTAAGTATTTGCATGGCACGTCATGTTGAGGTTGTACAGGATGTTGGTGAGGCCTCTTCTCAAGTACTGTGTGCAGTTCTCGTTCTCCTGTAGAAATGATATTATTAAATTGGAGATGGTTCAGAAAAGACTTACCAGGAAGTTGTTGGGTATGGAGAGTTGGGTTATAAAAACAGGATGGACAGGCTGGGACTTTTTTCACTGGAGCGTAGGAGTTAGAGGGGTGATCTTATAGAGGTTTATAAAATCATGAGAAGCATAGATACTGTAAATAGCAAGGGTGTTTTGCTTTGGGGGGTGTTCAAAACTGAGAGGCATATTTTTAAGGTGAGAGGACAATGTTTTAAAAAGGACATGAGGCAACTTTTTTTAATAACACAGTGGTTCATGTGTGTAATGAACTGCCAGAGGAAATGGTGGATGCAGATACAGTAACAACGTTTTAAAAACGCATTTGGATAAGTACATGAATAGGAAAGGTTTTGAGGAATATGAGCCAAACCAGGCAAGTGGGACTAGTTTAGTTTGGGAACATCGTCCGTGTGGACTAGTTGGACCAAATGGTTTGTTTCCATGCCGTATGACTATATCCTATACAAGCCGACAAGTTGCACACAGCCCTATTGAATATATAGTTTGGGGAATTTGGAGGCATGGGATAGAACTGGCAAATCTATCTTTTCTTTCTTGGTCTCAGCTCCGCCCTTTGTAACTGAATCCTCAACTTTCTGACGCATTGGCCGCAATCAGTGAGGATAGGTAACTGCACCACCTCCACAATAACACTCAACACTGGAGCCCCCAAGAATGTGATCTCTGCCCCCTACTGTACTCCCTGTACACCTACGTATGTGTTACCAAATTCTGAACGAACGCCACCTACAAGTTCGCTGACGACACCATTGTAGTGGGATGGATATCTAACAATGGTGAGTCAAAATACAGAAGGGAGATAGAGGGCTTGGTGACGTGGTGCAATGAAAACAATCTTTCAACATCAGCAAA